GCACAGAGCCCGATGCAGGGCTCGAACTCACGGACGGCGAGATCGTGACCTGGGCCGAAGTCGGCCTCCTAACCGACTGAGCCACCTGGGCGCCCTCTCTTGCTTTATTTCTATTTTTTAATTTATATATTATTTTTTATATGTTTACATATATTATTTGACAGATTTGTCATGTATTTACAGGTACATTACTATAAATATACATATAAGTTTTAAAAAATGCATAGCTACAGAATGAATGCTTGTGGCCTCCCAAAATTCATAAGTTGAAATCCTAACCCTTGAGATAGTGGTATTAAGAGGTGATTCGTGGGGCGCCTGGGTGGCGCAGTCGGTTAAGCGTCCGACTTCAGCCAGGTCACGATCTCGCGGTCCGTGAGTTCGAGCCCCACGTCGGGCTCTGGGCTGATGGCTCAGAGCCTGGAGCCTGTTTCTGATTCTGTGTCTCCCTCTCTCTCTGCCCCTCCCCCGTTCATGCTCTGTCTCTCTCTGTCCCAAAAAAATAAATAAACGTTAAAAAAAAAAATTAAAAAAAAAAAAAAAAAGAGGTGATTCGTGCCCTTATAAAAAGAGACTCAAAAGAGCTCCCTCGCGCTACCCAACAAACGAGGGCACTGCAAGAAAGTCATCTGTGAACTGGGAAGTGGGTCCTCACCAGATACCTTGATCTTGGAGTTCTAGCCTCCAGAACTGTGAGAAGTAAACGTCTGTTATTTACAAGCCACCCGGCCTGTGGCTGCTATAGCAGCCCAAGTGACTTAATGTGTGTATCTTTCTATACGCATTTCATTTTTTTTTTTTTTTTAAGAAAGAACATGTAGTATAGTTGCATTTAGAAGAAAATACGGATTAACGATAGGAATAGATTCGGAGAGAAAGTAAATCCTCATTATGAACAAGCGCCACTGATATAAGTTCCTTTCATAAGCCAGCTACAACATGAAGCCACACTAATTTGGATACGGTGTACTTCACCTTCTGTGACAGCACCAACTCCACCTTTCCACTCATTTCATTTTCCAGCTTCTTCTGGTCATTTTCTTCTGGCACGTCATTCTTCAGTCGGGGGCTCGAGGAAAACTCCACAAAGGGCACAGTCGGGCTGGACCGAGTCACAGTTGTTGTAAAATGCTGTGGCTCTGAAATGGAGTTACATTCAGAGACATAAAAAAGAAGGACATCCCATGAAGGACCATTTCCCCTGCACTGCCATGAAATACATCCAATACGTATCCTGGCCTGGGCCATAAGAAGTTGGATTACAGTGTGACGAGAGTTATGAAGAGGCCGAGATGCCAGAATTGGCCAGTCTCTTTCAAGACATTACAAAGAAATCAAGCAACATAAGACACGTAAAGAAGCCCACCATGAAAAATTTAAGTTCTTCGTAAGAGTCAGTTTCCATATGAAGAGCATGACATGAGACAAACTGTTGACACAAAATATTATGGTAGGTGGGTTGGATGAGAGAATACTTATAGACACTTTCTTTCCAAATGACTGAGTGGCAGCTTGACTCTTTCTTTTGAATTTCAATGCCCCTTTTAACCGTTACATTTTCATAATTGAAATGTGTTGATGAGTGCGTGGTATATATAATGCAGTGAAAATAAAGTGTTCTCTGATATATATGGAAGAATTAGGTATGCTCTAGAGTGAGGGGCATATCAAAATGTGGAGGTGCAATCTATTTGGAAAAAGCATATGCTAAAATTTTTAATAATGGTATTTAATTTATTAAGAAAAGAAATTTTTAATGTTTATTTGTTTTTGAGAGAGAAAGAGAGACAGAGCATGAGCAGGGCAGTGGCAGAGAGAGAGGGAGACACAGAATCCGAAGCAGGCTCCAGGCTCGGAGCTGTCAGCACAGAGCCTGACACGGGGCTCGAACTCATGGACCGCAAGATCATGACCTGAGCCAAGTTGGACGCTTAACCAACTGAGCCACCCAGGCACCCCTATTTAATTTATTTTAAAATGCCACTTTAGGTGTGCCTGGGTGGCTCAGT